GTTGGAGTATATTCATCAGATTATAACCTTGGCTAAGTATATGAGACTGTGGGGAGGTACTGCTGCTATAACCGAGTATTACAGTAGTATATTGCACGACGGAAATGAAGAAGGTAACACACACACACACACACACACACACACACACACACACACACACACACACACACACACACACACACACACACACACACACACACTATATCTCTAACTCGACAATTCTACCTGAATATATCATATGCAAGCGAAAGCAAAGGCAGGGTACAGCATACTTAATACGTGGGTAGAAAGGAAGAGAAGGGAGGAGAGAGATAGGAAGAAGGAGGAGAGGAGAGGTTCAGGAAGAGTTGGAGATGGAGATAGAAAAATGATGAAGGAGTAAAGGAGAGGGAATACTGGGATGAGGTATAGTGAGGGAGGAAAGGAAAGGGTAGGATGGAGGAGATGCAGGAAGGGAAAAGTGGGATGGAGGAGTGAACAAGGAGGAGGAATAGAGGGATGGAAGAGGGGAGGGTAACGTACGAGTACATATTATACAAGAATAATAATTTCACTATTAGTATAATTTTTGGTGTTGCCTGTGTGGGCGGCTCAACTGGTTCAAGACAGCCGAGAGAGAGAGAGAGAGAGAGAGAGAGAGAGAGAGAGAGAGAGATTAACCCATTACAAATAACACAGTGAGAGTGGAAGTTGGGGCCCTTTACACCTGATGACCTGTTTGGGACAGTGTGGACGCAGCACACAGCATACTAATCCTATGGTACGCAAGAGAGGCAGCGTGGCCACTACACTCACCGACCTTCACATTTCCATTTGTAAAGTTATGTACCCATTTGCCTAGGGATCGAACCTAGGGCATGAGACGAGTGCTTTATCCACTCAGCCATAGCACCACAATAACAACAGTCACCTATAAGAAATAACATCGCAATAACTCAATAAATCAAGCGTAATTCCCCTCCCAAATAACACAATAACCGTTATAACACAGGAAATAACAATACCCATTCCAAACAATGCAACGACCAGTAAATAACAACACTAACCATTAAAACTATCACAATAACAACAACTATTAATAACACCATAACAATTAAAATAACAAAACTAATTAAACACCAACAAAACACACATTAAAATAACCCGATAATAACCATGAGTCGTCGCCTTCTGGCAGGAGAGAGAGAGAGAGAGAGAGAGAGAGAGAGACTGACTGACTTAGCCAAACCCGACAATAGTTTCCTCTCTCTGCCTTTCCTCGGAATACTAAGTGGATTTTTGACAATTAAAACTTCTAACGTATTCTTTCATCTTGAACCTCGAAAGAAGAAGGAAAAAAAAAACCTTGCAAATGAATTCAGAAAGCCATTTTTTTTAGGCGGGATCATTTTTATAATTTCTAGTCATCGGTCAAAGCGTGGCCATCATCATAAGGGAAGCAATAAATGACTCAAGAGGATCCGGACCTCTTAATAATGGTCCCGAAACCTCCTCTTTTTTACCCTCTTTTGTTTGGCTTATCGTATTGGGATCCATTAATGTTGAGTTTTATTGCCGGTGTCTTTCTGGATATTGCTGTTTATTATTATTATTATTATTATTATTATTATTATTATTATTATTATTATACGCTAGCTAGATAATGGTTTATTCTGTAATATATAAATATGGTTAATTTCTTTAAAGCTTATTCAATGTATAATAATGACCAAGTGTTTATTTACTGATTTAAAGTGGAAGAGTAGTGTGTGTGTGTGTGTGTGTGTGTGTGTGTGTGTGTGTGTGTGTGTGTGTGTGTGTGTCTGCTCGGTCGTCAAACACTTGTCTCAGGGAAGTGGGGGTAAGGCTTGATCAAACCTAGGAATATACCTAGATGGGGGGAGGATGTTAAGTCAATGCAAGACTGGAGCAGCACACAGCTTTGTTCCCTCTGAGGGGGGGGGGGAAGTTGGTGGTGGATGAGGGAGGAGGAAGGGAGAGAAGGGGTGGTGGTGTGTGATGAGGGAGGAGAGGAGAGGGGAGAGAAGGGTGGTGGTGTGTGATGAGGGAGGTGGAGAGGAGAGGGGAGAGAAGGGTGGTGGTGTGTGATGAGGGAGGTGGAGGGGAAGGCAGAGAAGGGTGGTGGTGTGTGATGAGGGAGGGGAGGAGCAAAGGGAAGGTAGAGGAGGTGAGGTGGGGAGGAGGTAGGCGGGGTGGGGGTGAAAAGTGGGGAGGTTACTGTGGAGGAGGTCTACCTGGTCTTTTCACCTACCAAAAATGTCCCCCCGTGACGACTTCATCAACTGAGCTGTTTCCATCTGCACTCCATGAGACTATAATAGACCTATGTGTTGTCCCCCAATACATCAGCCAGTGTCATATGTCCTTCTTTCACTCCACTAGTATATACACAATTACAAACACCCATACAATTTTTTTTCTTTGTTGTATGCTAAATTTTATATCTTTTTCCCATTCTTAATTATACACTTTTTCCGAATTATTTCTTGTGTAGAGACTTTGATCAGTTTATTATAATTATTATTTATCCTGAATACACTGATGGATGGCTGAGTCTTCACCTCGAGCGAGACGTAATTTGGCAGACTCCACAGAGAAGCGGGCACGAGCTGCTCTCATTGGTCTTTTTTGTTTACCTAGACATACGTTGGGTTTGTTCTTCTCTCCTTCCACAGCTAAAGTACCTAACCTAACATTAGCCTCTTAACTCGACCTCTTTAACCTAACCTAAAACCCAATCTATTTGCCTTAATTAACCGAAACTTTCTTAACCTAAATTCAAACAACCTTCCCTAAAATATATGTTAAACTAAACCTAATTCATCTAATCTAACTTAAACTAACTTAACTGTAAACCTAATTTAACCTGTCAATGGGGGAGGGGGGGGGACGATGCAGGAAGATATGAGGACATACCTGTATTATCGCGTTGTGCCCGCACCCGTTCGTGTGGATTATTATTGTGGTTAACGATTAAAGTCCAGATTTTCTTCCCTTTGATCAACACTACAGAGGCCTCTTAAATCGTAGTGGTGAGCCCTCGTAGTGGTGAGCTCCCCTCGTAGTGGTGAGCCTCGTGTGAGCCCTCGTAGTGGTGAGCCCCCTCACACACCAAAGTCGTGGTGGTGACTCATCTTCCTCCCACCCAACAATGGTGACCCCTTAAAGTCGCATTGGTGGCTCATCCCCCCTCCCCACAGTGGTGACCCCCCTTAAAGATGCAGTGGTGACTTCATGGTGAGTAAGGCGGTGAGGTCTATAATATTTTGAAACATTATAACAAAAATCTCTATTCTTAACATGCTCGCCGTGTGATATAAATATATAAATTATCCCCGACTGTATAATCTAATAACGCCGACTGTTTCATCACACAACACATAACATTAAGAGTCTCCACACTTTATTGTTACACTTCTACGTTAATGATGGTTGTATTGTGAATAACACGCACCTTCATCACCTTAATTACACTCTTGAATGTAAGATAATTTCTTAAAATAATGTTTATTAGGACGCCGAGTAGCCATTCTGATTGGTTAATTCGGATAATTTGGACCAACAAAGATGATTAAAGCGTTCTGTTTTCGCCCACTATAATAATCGGCGAATCTGAACCTAACCAAATGTATGAAAGATCCGGGTAGCAGCGAGCGAGCCTTAATTAACGTAACGTTATATCGATAGGTGACGTTAATATTACCGACACAAGAACCATATTTTGTATACATAATTTAAGGTTTCTACATACATTTTAGCATATTTTATACATATTGGTGGAAGAACTGTACAGATCAACGCCATCTGCCGGTAAGTTTCGCTGGCTGTCATACATGGATGATTTTAACCTTGTTTCCTTGAGTTATAAAGCCAGGAATAATTAATCGGCAGTTGTTTAAATCACAAGTGAAGGCTATTAAACTTACGGGAGCTTTAATACTTGAGAAATACTTGCATAGTTTAATATCAATTGATCATCAGACGTCGAGATCGTAATTGTGTGCGGGATAATTTCAAGTATCAGCTTTATCGAACAGTTGCTGCGTTTATCCCCTTCGTCACTTGTCAGCTCATTGGCCCGTCACTCAGTTCTCTGTTGTTCACTGTTGGCAGAACTTGGCACATATTGGCTCTACAATGTACAGTACAATTAGGGCTAATATTCCCTCGACACTAAGCAATATATGGCATCTATTTGTAAGTCCTATATGTGATTGGATTATAGTTATTAACGCTGCTTTTCATTGTAACTAACATGGGGAAAAAAATCTTTTACCTATACGTGACCCTCATATAGATGATGTCACATATTGACAACGTATGCAAGGATATTTTCCATCATTCGTCTATCCTGGACTTAAGAAAGGTATTTACTCATACAGAGAGTAAACATGATTCCAATTCTTGGTCAACTGTATCATGCATGTGTAAACTATTATCAACTACAGATTGGTACAAGAGCCTCTGACTGATAACTATCATCATAGTTCACAAATCACTATTCACAGTATCTTATAATGACACTATTACATTTCACAAAATATTTTACATATAGCAAAAAATAATAATAATCCATTTTAAAAAATATCGATCACATCTGACGCCGAGTGATGAGCGGCAGCTGAAGTATATGTCCGAACTACTCGTTTATTTATTAAATTATTATACCTTTTTTTATATATCTGAAATTAATACGTAGTTTTTTTTCTGGTTCTAGGATATGAACTATCAAACTATGCACAATTTATTTACAGTGTATTAGAAATAGGTCATTTTTATCTTCCCTTATACTCAGTCATACTTCCTTACCATCCTCACCTTCCCTCATACTCCATCACTATCCCTCACCTTCTCTTAATGCATCATTACCCATCATCCTTTCTTACTCCCTCATCTCTCCTCACCAACCCTCATATTCACCTCCACTTTATCCTGTGGGGGGCGGGGTGTACCCGTGTCACCAGGTGTCCGTGTCACTAACGTCCGTGTCCGTGTTGCAGAGTTCGGGCTACGGCATGAAGGAGGGCGGGGCGGCCGACGTGTCCATGTACGGCAGCGGTCTGGGGGCGTCGCCAGCGGGCTACTACCCCTACGACCCCACCTTCGCCGCCTATGGGTGAGTATTGCTCTGTGTGTGTGTGTGTGTGTGTGTGTGTGTGTGTGTGTATGTGTGTGTGTGTGTGTGTGTGTGTGTGTTTGTGTGTGTGTGTGTGTGCGTTGAAGGAAAATGATCATCGTTATAAACAAGATTTTTTTTTTGCACTAATACAGTACAGTGTCATCATTACCTGAGCCAGACAGGTGTGCTACCCTGATATGCCTTCACTAAGTCCCCCATCAATAACTCATCTCACTCCAGGAGGGAACAAATCGGATTTTTTCCCGTTTTGTATTATCGACCTACCAACATTTTTGTCATTAACCAAACTCCATCCTCACCTACATCACACACAACAGCCTATGTCTACACCACACGGGATGCACTGTGTCAATTCCACATACACTGTTTACAGCCAAATAAGTACATTATGTCTATGCTACACACAACACACTACACTATCCACACCACTACACCATGTCTACACTATATCTCCACAATACACCGAGAGAATCCCTTTATTGATATTATGGCATATCCCAAACGTTGCTACCCCCTGCCTCTTCCTCCCCCGCGCCTCCTCCAAGCCTTCTGTTATCAAGAGGAAACTCCCCGAGGCAAGAGATCTCAAATGATCAAATGAAATACATATGACTTGTTTATGTTAGGTATAGTGAGAGATTACATAAAGGAGACACACATACAAGCAGACAGCGTTGTTTTAGATATATATAGATAGATACTTCATTTGATTTTGACTCTTAACAAACGAGCCTGAATCCCAAGATAGCCAAAATTACTTATCATTTAAAAGGACTTAGACGCCGATCAATGGCTAAAACTGTATACACACGCAGTTACCTATTGATCAGAGGGCATTAAAACTTTAATCCAAACATCCCTCACATGTTGGTCCTACCTGACAATTACTGCACGTGATGATTGACCCCCGCCATTAAATTTACATGTCAAAGAGGAGTCACAACTCTGGTGGATAAAGTTGTCAAACACTGGTAATTAAACCCACGTTTTTATATCTATGATGTTAAAACAACTTCATCACAAATTTTCATGATGTAAACCAGGATTTTTTTTTTCTTATCGATCCGCTGAACTAATAAGCGGAAACAACATTTAATAGAGAGACGGAAACACGGAGAGTGGTAACCCTTTATGCTCTCTATACGACTATGGTATAAGACCTATAAACTAATTACTATCAAAGGACCATTGAGAGGTATGTTAGTAACCAGTAGTAAAGTCTCAACGACGGACAAGTTACAAGTGACGTTACAAACCTTAAGAAATGTTTAGTGTCCTTTCCTAAATAGATGAAGAACAGTCAATGCTGGTTTAGTTTGTACATCAACCAGATTTCAGATTCATTCCATCCCCACCATAGAATACTCATGAATCCCCTCACCAGTATAACCATGTACTCCCCCACCCCCACCACTAAAGCTACCACCACAACCACCACGTATTCACCACGTAATCGCTTCACCACCACCACGTACTCACTTCCCCACCTGCATCCCCACCACGTACTCAACACTCCCCAATACCACCAAATACTACACACACACACACACACACACACTAGTTCATATTATAGCAGACACATCAATATTGCGAGATGACAACTTATATACACTGGTAATCAAATAACACTGCAAGTACAGGTAAACCCAGTGTAGTTCTACAGGTGGGGAGGACAGGCTCTCTCTCTCTCTCTCTCTCTCTCTCTCTTACTTTTAAGTATATTACCACTCAATCGAATGAATTGTTTTTCTGGATTTTTTAATTCTCATGATATACAAGACTGAGTACGTAATATATATTTTAACAGAGATAGGTGGAAGGGAGGGGTAAATATTATCAGAGGGCACAAGTGTATGTATGTATGTATGTATGTATGTATGTATGTATGTATGTATGTATGTATGTATGTATGTAGTATAATTAAGCTATTACATATTGTGAGATAAAAAAATGAGAGAGGTCTAATTAATACGTTAAGCCTTAAGGTTATGGTCGTCTAGCAGCTCCTGGGAGACGTTTTTTTTCTTCCTACCTCGACACAGTAACTGAGTGGCTCACCTTCACCCCAGAGTCCCATCACATACTGTACCACTAACCCTTCAGTTATCACCATATATTACAATACTCTACATAAGTCCTACCATCACCACATGTTACCACCACCATCACCACATACTATCACCATTATGTCAGCACCTTCGTATACTATATGCTGCCAGCGTCACCTTACCCTTCCTCCAATATTATATGCTGCACTAAACACCACATATTTTTACCAGCATCTACCATCGTCACTCCATCCCTCACCCTCCTGTTTCCTTACTCCTCACCTGTCATCCGTCTTACAATCCTCAGTTTAGTCCTTCCTTTGTTCCTTCTCTCACTCCCCTCCTTTACTTCTTATTTCTTGGCGCTTCCCCTTTCACTTCTCTCTCCATCTTTCTCCTGACAACATCCTTGGCCTCCGGCTGGCCTGCGCCACCAGCCCCTCCTTTGGCGCCCCCTCCCCCCAGTGATGAGGTCCTCAGAGAAATCATTGCATATCTTGCGGCTGCAACCCCGGGGGGCCACGGGGAGGCGGCAGCGAGGCGGCGCCGTGTGAGACACCACGTCAACGCGCTCCACTAATTTAGTTGACGCGTAAAAACCGGGGCTAAAAAGCTCCTACACTTGTGTCGGGATCACCAGCTCGTCAATGATGCAGCCCGGCCAGGGTTCTCGCCCCCACCGGAAAAATGGTCTGTCTCTTAAGTCGTCTTCAAGGGCGATTTTTGGGTTTAGTTAGCATGGGCTGAAGAGCTGTGCGTTACTTGGGGAGAGAGGGGGAGTTTCCGACGCAGAGTTTGCTCATCCTGGATGCTGGATGGATACTCCCAAAGGATTCCCTAGCCAGGTAAGCGGCGCGAATCCGAACCAAGCGTGCACGGCAATTAGGGAGTTTGATCCCCTTCAGGTTATTTCTTCATCTTAGTCTTTTTTCTTAAACTTATTGGGGATCAGATAGAGGCCGCAGAGATACAAGTGGTGCAGTAGTTCACAAGCGTGGTAGTGCTGTACTGTTGCCTCGCCCCTGCACCCCCCCCCCTTTACTTAACATAACCAGAGAAGACGTAATAATAATAATAATATTCATAAATAACAATAAATATGCTTCATATAGTCAACAGCACCACACTACGCTTTCATGTGCTACGCCAGAAGGACGCCATGATAACTTGTGCACGTGTTGCGATATTCATTGGCATATATATATACATATAATATATATATATATATATATATATATATATATATATATATATATATATATATATATATATATATATATATATATATATATAGGTGACTCACCACACAGTATCAGTTGTAGCTTCCTGCACACCTGTCTATAACTGCTCGTCTTATTGCCATCACTGGCCCATTCACGTGTCGTCCTCATCTGTATCCACCTGCCCGACGATTCAGACACTTGCCAACCACATCTGTACCCAGTGCTGGCTGTAGCACTTGCCTTCATGCAGTTATATATTACTGTGTGGCGGTGACCCATGATTACAGTCAGGTTATATGGGAGGGAGGATGGTAATAAACAGAAGGCTGGAACATTTACCTGAATATTGCAGTACTGTTAAAAGGTCTCAAACAAGTGTTACTCATTAATGGATAATGCCAATGATCGAGGTAGAGCAGGTGTAATATTTACTCTTACTCAAACATTTACTCATAAACACAAGCTAACGAACGTACACCTTCATAGACACGCATACACAAAAACACGAAACACGCTCAAGTAACTCTCTCTCTCTCTTTCATACACACACGTGCATTTTTTTATTTATTCTTTACACAATAGACTAAAGTGTCAGTCGATAATGTGAGCGCCTCGAGCAGCCCAACAGTGTAGAAGTCTCAGAAATATAACGAAATCTTAAGTAGTCGCATGCCAGTAGGTAAACTATTCAACACGAGAGGACTCATACATTAGAACCGTGACCATCAGCTACGCAGTTCAATATGTTATTACACACTGGCAAATCACAAAGCACACCCAAAGTTGGGGAGTGTGTTGTGTCGATGATCAAGTACAGTACAGCACCAGAGTCTTAAGCACCACCAAACACTCCGTCCACGTTACAATGTAAACACGAGCAGGTTAAAGGGAAAATGCGTATGCTACTGTGACAGATGAGAAAAATTTTTTTCTTCTGTGCGGCCCACTCCTGTGTTCTCCAGCACTGTCCTAGGTTTCCTGTCACTGGTGGTATGAGAGAGAGAGAGAGAGAGAGAGAGAGAGAGAGAGAGAGAGAGAGAGAGAGAGAGAGAGAGAGATTCCTGCAAAAACTATACTAATTCGACATTTTTATCTCCTTTCATCTGTTTTCAACTTTTCATCATTAGTTACATCACTGACAGTTTATCTAAGCTGTACGTGATATACCCGGTAATTAAACGCAAATTAATTTTTAATGAAATTCATCTACTAGGAAGTGCTACTTGAACACACACACACACACACACACACACACACACACACACACACACATGCAAAGCAATCTTCTGTGAAAACAACTTGCTTATTAATACTTATTTATGACTCGTAAACGTCTGACAAGGTTAACCAAGTGATAATTATGTTCCTTTGACTTATTATTAAGTCATAATTATTAAATATTTTTTCTCCTATTCTCTCATATTCTGTACGTTTCTTCTTCATTTCACGAGGAACTGCAGGGCTTCTTGATGCACTAAAACACCCACAATAACACAAACAATAAAACACCAGTAACAAGGGCACTAAAAACAATAACAAAAGCAGTAAAGAATAATAAAAAGAACAGTAAAAAGACAAAACAATAACATGAGCGCAGTAACACGAGCGGTAAAACAAACAAACAAGCAAACATTAAACTGCAGCACCTTGACCACAAAATACTGTGTTTCATATCAGAGTGGTGAAGCGGACGAGTGTAGCAGGC